TCTTTATGTAATTTGTTTGAAATGTAGGTACAAAACAATCAGAAACAATTTTCAGAAACAGATTTTCAGAAATCAGTATAAGAAATGTTTTCCTTATATCTGATTGTCGCTGACTAGTTCGTAACTACTCTGGGAACAAAGAAAATATTCAATAAAGGATAGATAAAAATCATAGAATAAAGGACAGATAAAAATCAATTCAAACTATAAGATAGGTAGGTATTTGTTAATAATATAAATAACCTACTTTGAAATAGTTTCTTCGAAAAAACTTCATTAAAAGGTACTTTATTTTCCAAAAAATTAAGAGTAAAAGTAACTTAAATATTCATAAAAATAGAAGTATTTACAAAAACTATTGTAATACAAAACTGGGCGAATCTTATAATAAAATATGTAGGTACCTGAAACAATTTAATTTTAAATACACAATGTTTTTAAATTACTAACTGGGTTTATGAAAATGATTTTTTTTATCATAAACTACTTCCTCACCTGTGATAATAATGATCTAAAATCACAAATCTAGTAGAAAAATACATTAATTACAACAATGAAGATCGAAAGTTCAGAAAACAGCTGATGATTTACCGGTATCAAATTTAGGAAAGTGTGGTTTAGATCGGTAGAAAAAGAAACAAAATATCTTCCTTTTTATCAGTTTTTAGGCAACTATAAAAACTTAACATTTTTGTACGCAAAACTATAACAACTTGATACGCCATCTAGCGCACCAGAAACTTACTATCGCAATTAACAGATCGTTCAAGGTCGTGTATCTCAGATAACTGGCCTTGATGCCACCGACTGCCAATAAAATGTACATGTAATTACAAGTGAGACATCCCTCCCTAGAGTAGATGGGTTATTTCGCTGGTATCTTTGAATAAGAAGACTAAGGAAGGAGCATAATGATATCCATGTATTCATGCATGGTGGGCGGAAAAAGGACTCTAGGGTGGGGATCCTTGACAATTCTGTTTGACGATTCATTTGACACATTTGAATTTGATTTGAAATTTTGTGGATTTGTCAGTCTTTACGGAGCTTATTTTATGTTATTTATTATTTACTTATTCTACTACTGATAGTTGTATAAAAGTAGTAAATCTAGATGGAAATTGTGGCAGAACTTAAATTAACAGTGACACTATCGCGATTTATCAAAAAAGACTCTAAACAGGGGCGGGAAAGTGAAATAGCAAAAACGGTTCCACCCATGGTACAAAGAAAACAAGGTATGATCGATAGCGGCTCCAATTTTGTTAAGTTTGCGCATACCACCTGTGACGTGATACGCCATACAAAAAAATATTCATATTGTCCAATTGCCACTAATAAAAAAAGGCCTAAAATAGGGAAGAATTAGGACATAACCCCAAAAGTTATGTCAAATCATCGAACTTGACATTTGAAAAATTATTTTCACATTTATTATGTCATCTGTTTGACAATTTGAAATTGGCGCGCGGAGCTTGCCGACCAATGGTGCCGTTTATCACCTGTGACGTAGTGACCAACCTGCGCAATATCATACCTTAAATTCTTTGTATCATGGGTTCCACCGTTTCCACGGAAATCTCAAATAAAATAGTTCCAGCCCTAGCCACTAGGTGGTAATGCAATTAATTTTTAGGTTAAGAAGTTGCTACTAGTTATTGCCAGATGGCGTTAAAACAGAATTTTTTGTAGTTTCCACAGTTTCCAACGGCCATTGTCATATTATTGTCAAATTCTCAAAAAATATTGTCGTTGTCATAGTGCCTGCATCATAATATTATCAAATAAATGATTATCAAAACGTTTTTCAAACTATAATTTGTTATATGTGTTTTAATTAGACAATTCCTTTTGTTTGTGGCCCTAAAAATATAATGTAAGTCTTTTATTTTTGCCATCATTTAAGTACCTATTTATATTTACTTAATTTACCAAACTTTGGGCGTATTACGTTGGTTTTGATTTATTATAATAAACGATGTTTAAATCTTTGACTTATAAATAAAAACTTTAAATAATAAATAATATTTCACATGTTTGGCTTTAATTTTATTTAATAATTGTATAAATTATACTGTTAAATCTTATTTTTTACACATCACAACGATACTTGTTATTAGTATTGTTGAATTTGTGTAAAAAATAAGATTTAATAATCAAATTTAATTATTTTAGAGCAAAATTCAATAAATACGCTCATTTAAAAAGCCCGAGCTTAGATCCATTTAAAACAAGCCCTACTCAATAGATGGCGCCATGTCTGTAGGACCATTTTTCAGTATGGCAGAGTCCATTCTTTTTCTAGCTAGGTATATTCTTTGACTCTAAAATAGTTGGTTGTGTAGCGTGCGGTAGATCTCGGCAAAAATCGAGTGAAATAATGGAGTGAAAACAACTTTTCGCTAGTAAGTGACTATATAATATACATACGTGTAGTAAACTGATCATTTACGAAATTCACTTAAATTAACTAATACTATATTTTTTTCTTGCATTTTTGCTTTTATTTACTACTTGTCAAAGATTAGAAGTCAAAGAATTTAGATACGTCAATTTGACTTACCTGCCACAGTAGCGTATCGGATGTTTGTGTTAATAAATAATTATTAAAACTTATCTATTTTTATTATAATAATATGTTTTTATAACAATTTTAGTAACTACCAACATTTATTCACAACGTAAAATAAAAAAAAATTATCGAGTCTACCCCACGTCTACCCTACATCATAGTTTTACATTTTTTAAATAAAATTAGAACGGCACTGATAAACCGGAATTTAAGTCGGCCATATTTCGGTCCCATCGCGGTGGACCTAAGATTTTTGATATGCTCCTTCCTTAATCTTGTTATTCAAAGGCTGGTCTACGTTATCTATTGGCACGCGTGGTCTATTGGCAACCATTTCCAAATTTTCTGTGGAAACTTTAATCAATTTGTTTGATATTAGAAACCATAGAATAACTAACTGAAAGAAATGAAAACTCCTATGTTAAGGCCTGGAAACACGCGCTCGACGCGATCCAAGCGGGCTACTGGCAGAACTAAAAGTTCGCGCCATATTTTTAAATGGACCTTTACTGCCAGTTCATAAGTTTTTTACTTATATTTGGTAATTTCAATCTAGATTATGAACTTATTTGTAACAAAACATTTTACAAAATAAAAATAATGTGTTTTGATACAAATAAATTAATAATCTAGGTTGAAATTATCCCTGAAATTAGAATAAAACACGAAAAATTTGTAACTTGATTATTTTATTATAACATTGTTAATAAAATTACATATAACACATTCAACACTATACAAGTATATATAAAAGTTATCAGAATTTATACAATCAGTTATAAGTAATTATAAAAAAGGTTATAAATTATAAATAAATAATTCATTATATAAAAGACATATAGTTACCGTGAATATAATTTGGTATAACTTTAATCTCAACTTTAATGACCTATTCAAATAGAAACATCTTACAATTCACATTATATAATACACAAAGCCAAGGGACAAAATTGTTATTAAATCTATTCTCGATGACTCGAAGCATTTTTTTTTCAAATAAAACAGGACATATAGGGCTTATAAATAATACAAGGGTATAGAAAATATATAAATAAGTAAATACAAATATATTTTCAACCTAATGATTAATGATTATACTCGTTTAAATAAATAAATGATCTTTTTAAAATTACTTGTTTGTCTTTGCAAATTTGTATATTTAATATTTATCTAAAAGCGTACACTTACATAAATTACTGCACAACCTTTAAAATTAAGCTTTTAATATGTTATACAAATTCTTGATTCGATATAAATACACTTAAATAAAACTTTAAAATTAATGATCTTCCAAATTTTGAGAGACAGCCATTTTGTTGAAAGAATTTGTTTTGATTATGAGAAATTTCATAAAAATTATCACAGGGATTAATTAATATTATATATTAAACTACTTGGCTTTTAAATTTCACAATCCTATCGTCCAAAATACTCTAAATTCGCAAAAATCCGTAAAATATTCCCATAAAAACAAATCACAAATCACTTCCACTTCACAGAAACTGACAGACATTGCCAAATATGGAATGAAGTTTATTTTTCAATTTATTTTACTGATCTAACTGATCCGGGTCACTTAGAAATTAAATTTTTATTAAATTATTTAATTATAATTGTTTCTGGCGAAAGCAACTTCATATCAATGTTTATTCATAGGGTAACAAAGCACATCACTGTTAAATTAACAACATTTTATATAAATATTTATATTTTTCAACTACTCCAACTACTCCAATTATTCCACAGAGTATCAAAAGAATTGTTAATTAAACTATACTCTGTGGATGACTTGATAAAATCATGATGAAATTAAAGTCCCTAGATGAATATCTAGGGACTTTAGATGAAATTTCTACGCAGCGCCATCTATCCCTCTACTGGCAGAAACTCCGCCGTGTTTCCAAAATTCAAATGGCAGTTTCATCCGCCTGTTAGAAACTATTGTCAAGGTATATGTGGCGACATCTGTCGGAGAAGTGAATAAACCGCAAGCGTATTGCTGGTTGAGGACTATCTGTGGACATTGTTGTTGAGATGCCATCTCTTAACCAAGTAGAAAAGTAGGCGAATCAGGCGGCAGAATTTACTAGTAGGAGGCAGAATGATATCGAGAATTTTAGAAGGTTCCAGAAACAGTCAGTAGAGTATATAAAAGCGCGCAATCGGCGGTTGAGCCAGTTTGAATTTTGAAATACAACATTTTAAATTGTGAATCGTGACAGTTTGACGAAGGATGTTAATAATTAGTTAATTGTGTGTTGTAATCAGTATAAATTGTGTGTATATAGTGAGAAAATAAATTCGTTAAGTATTTGCATCGTGAGTTTAAATTAGTGGGCCCACGGAATCCGTAACACTATTTAAGATATAATAAATGATTAATATAAGAGGTATATAGCTAAAATCATAGCCTAAAATATTACCTTACCTTGGCCAACAGCTGGTCGATCGATAACGTCAATGGACCCGTGGCTACCGTATTCCCTTCTCAGGGTCGGACTGCTGGACTTGAACGGTCTGCCGTGCTGGTCCAACAGCTCCAAGCTGGAATTGCTACGGCACAGCGCTTCTGGAGCGAGATGGGGGCGCCGGGCGTTGTGGTGGTGACGATCGTTGAATGATGATCTCGAAGTGCACAGCCCTGCGTTTGCCCAACACCTACGACCGAGAAAAACGTCAGGAATTGTCTCAATTTTTGAAGTAAAACTTCTTTACGCTCATTGGGAGTAAAAATTCAAGACCGTGACAAACGGCCTTCTACGCGACTAAGAAAATCACTATAATAAACTTGAAACTGTACCAACCTTGATTTTATGCATATTTTCATCGATAGGTTTGTAGCTGCTGGTCTAGGTAAAGCATCTAGCTCATTTGCCAGCTCAGAATTAGAATTTAGAATTAGTAACTCGCATTTTCATTGGAGCACACTGTCATATTTTATGTTATGTTATATATTCTAATAATTTATTAAAATTACTGTATATCACTATAAATAATGAATTGTGTGTAATTGAACTGTAATTTCTGTATTATTAATCTGGTAAAGGATGGAGATAAACAATTGTGATTGATTAAAATTTTATTTTAAGATGAAACTTTTGTTAACAACATTCTGGGAACTCGAATAAATTGAATAATGACAAGACAAGTGCCATCTGTCTAAAAAAGACAGCGATTTAGAGTGACAATTTGGTTATGTAAAATTTAGAGTGGCAATTTTGATTATGCAAAACAAATACTTGTTGCCTAACAATTAACATTAATTTAAAAATAAATCGCCAACATGAATAATATGACCAAAACATTTAAACAAAAACAGACCACAGACCACACAAAACAAATTGTTGGTTAGTAGCAGTTAGTAGTAGTCAGAGATATAATAGATGTAGTAGTATTTTGGTTTAATGGCCACAGCTGCCAGGACTATCCGACCGGGTGATAAAATTATCGTTTTTTTTTAATAAAAATTAAAAAAAACACAAAATTATAAAGCTAGAATAGTATACGGCTTTATATCAGCTGTATTTTTTTTAAATTTTATAAAAAGCATTCATAAAAAAAGATATATCCTTCAAATCCTTCAATTGAATAGCTGTTAGTAAGAAGTTTCACTTCGAATATGCGCACATAGTGCACACACAATTTTTTTATTACAGTAGATACTAACAATATTATATCAAAATCAAGATATGGAAATGTAGTACCTGTGAACATGGGTGTTATAGTAGTCTATTGCCTGGGCTGTGCGATCTCGCGTCCTTGTGGACAGTGGCGCCCTCGGCGGCGCTGGTCCGCACTCTTGCAGACCGATCATCCCATCACGCTGTAACAAATTGAAAAAGTCAGAATAAATCAACTGTTTTGCAATCTTCAACAAAGAAAACATTTGGAAAACTTGGGAAATAGGTTTGTGACAATAATTGACATACATATATCAATTATGATATACATCACAAGAAGTGTATTTCCTACACAATATGGCAAATGTTCATGTGTCCAACGTTGGAAGGTGTTGGACACATAGTGTAGGACCGGCTTAACTCGTCTTTGTTTTACGTAAGCCGGTTTACACGTTAGTTTTAACGCATCGTTTAGCATAGGTTTCGACAATATTGTTCATGTGTCCAACTTTGGAAAGTGTTTGCCACATCGTGTGGGACCGCCTTTACACATATAGATTAAGAAATCTGATATCTCAAAATATATCCGGGTGCGTCTTAAAAGTGGCTCACCCCTATAACTTTTTTATTTTTACAGTTAAAAAAACGAGATTTGGTATGTTGGTATATGACATAAATTAGGATTGATTGGCGTATTCAATTGTTTGCGGACACTTCCTGTTTCACCGGAAATGACTAAAACTTTAGATTTTTAAATGGTAACCTCGGTAGTTTTTTACTTTATTTAATAGAAAATAACACTCTGAATAGAATGACATATCATATGTCAACTTTTGACATTTTCGCATATGGTTTATTTGAAATTATAACTTGCGGTTCGTAACGAAAATTTGACTCGAAATACCAAGTGTGTGGTACCAAATTATTCGTAAAAAAATGCTTTTTCCAAATATGCTAATAAGCCACCCTCGTTCCGTTTGAATAAAATTAGATATGATTAAAAATACGATTTGAGTATTTTCTAACTGGCCAGAACAAGACACTAAAAACGTTAGACAATCAAATCTATTTTTCCAAGGCTCCTTGATTAAGAATTAAAATTTTTAACATAACCATGGCACTCTAGATTGAATTTTAAAATTTTAATTTTGTTTTAAGCGAGAATGTCAGAGTTGACATATGATATGTCATTCTATTCAGAATGTCATTTTCTATCGAGTAAAGTAAAAAAATACCGAGGGTGCCATTTAAAAATCAAAAGTCGTAGTCATTTCCGGTGAAACAGGAATTGACCGAAAACAATTGAATACGTCAATCAATCCTAATTTATGTCATATACTAACATACCAAATCTCGTTTTTTTATCTGAAAAAATAAAAAAGTTATAGGGGGTGAGCCACTTTTGAGACGCACCCGGTATTTCAAACTCTGTTACTCCCTTTAGAACCCGCCAAAGTTACTCCCTTTGACAGATAGCAAAGAGAATTAGACAAATTTCACCAAAATCAATATCAAAGCAAAAAAATATTTACCGAAAATGAAAAATCGTTCATCGTAATAATTTTTTTCTATAGATGTGCATATTTCAATTCTTTTATCACTAACACCTTAATAAAAATAAAGTGAACTGTTTAACGTATTAATAGAAACTGATATAATTTATTTTAAGCAACCTACTTGTCAATAGATAACATACTAAAATGTAACAAAAATCTGAATATTTATGTATTGAAAAAATAGATAACCAAAATATCTAATCAAAATATCATTATTTTTTCAACTGTGACAGATTTTGAATTTATGATATTATATACACATTTTTTTGCACATTTAATCTACTCTAATATGACTAAATAATTGTGATATACAGGGTGGTACGAATTGTATTCGGGAAAGCAAAAATAAGTAAAAAAGTTTCGTTTCGGAGATACATGGTGTAGTGAAGTTTCATTTTTATTACAGGTTTTTTCCAAATAATTTCTAAAAATTTAATTTGGATGATAATATGACTCCTATTCATAGGGAGCGCTACCTACATGTTTTTAAAATGTTTTGAAAAGTAATAACATTTTGTCAGTGCCTGTATAAAACTACTGGATGAAAAAATATACAATTTCGCCGTACTATACGTAAAAAAGGTCATCTGGTAAAAAGCGCATAAATTCCTACAAATAATTAATTTTGTGATATTAAAAAATATTCAATAATTAAATTTTCCACTATCATCATAATTTAATTCACATAAGATTTTGTATTAATATCATTTTTTCGGAATGTTTTGATCAGTTTTGTGTTAAATCATCCTCTATTGTGTCCCAGAATTCGATTTATTTAAATTTTCGCACTTTTTTCTATCACACCGAAACGTGATAGAGACAAAAATAGGACGAGTTCGACAACGCCCGCAGTGATGTCGTGGGTGGAAATACGCTCGATACTGCAGTCGCATCCTGCTTCCGGTTCGGGGAAAAACAAAAGAAAGCATTATCAGGACATTGCTCCAGTCTCTCGTTTGGACATTTTTGTCGTTCCAGTATGTCACGTCAGACTTCACGTCATCCCCCTTTAGAACATTTTCTTTAATGGCAATAACTGGGATTAAAAGCTTAACTTTGCGAACAATCATCAAAGGTGTTACCAGTCATTACAGGAAGTATCAATTGATGACGTATGCGATCATATTGGTCCCTTATTTGAATTTTAGTTGACAAATGCTCAATCGTTTTTAAAATTTGTCGGTATTTTATTTTTATTTAATTAGTGGTGATATTTTTACTTTTTATCAAGTTCATTTGTATTTTAAATTCTTATTTAAATTACAGTGATTTTGATCGAGAACTCAACTAAAATGAATAGTTATTTATGGTACTAGTGTTTGTAATCTTAGGGCCATTTCGCAGCAACACAGTCCAGTCTAGTCCCGTCAGATTCAGTCTAGTCCAGTCAAATCACTACAGTCCACTGCTTTCACACCAAACGCGTCCGACGTTTGTTGATGACATTTTTTTTAACGTGTTTTCAGCAAAATAAGCAGTTTAACAACAGAACGCTTTGAAAATGGTCGATATTTAGAGTAATAATTTTACGTCGATTAGAAAAAAGAAGGCGAAGGAGAAATTTATTTTGGATACATCCCATTCATAACAGAAGACTTGTTTTCGGATGTTTTAGTAACTTATTTCCCGATTTGTTAGATGATGCCAAGAATTTTTTCTCCAGACACCAGCAATAGGGTTATACAGGGTGTCCCAGGCTGAGCGTGCATTAGAAGTTTCTAGAGAACTACAACATCTAGCTCTAAGATTTTTTGCACATCATAGTTTCACAACGAGATCTATCGATTAAAAATATTTTCAATATGGTGGCACTTCCGGAAATACCGGAAGTTGACAGAAGCTTTCTTATTTTAAATGGGTGCCCCCATTTTTTATTATGTACTTAAATTCTCTGTAAAATTTTATGAATTTTGATATTAAACACTCTATATCTAACATTGACCGTTTTTGAGAAAAAACATATTTAACATTTTTGAACGAAAAAAACTGCCTGTCAAAAATATGTGTATAGCCTAAACGTCAAATTTAGAGATTACCACAGCCACTGTGCCATAAAGAGAAAACATGTGGCTATCTATTTCAAAAAATAAATTCTTTAATTGTCATATGATAACGGCCGCAGCTGTCATAGAATTGAGCGATTAAAAAATTATGATATATCATTTTTTTCAAATGGAAACCCACTTTTTTTATTTTACTAGTGAAAAGGCTTTTCAATTCTTTACTTTTTAACTATACATGTTCCTATACCTAAAATACATCGTTTTTAAGTTATTTAAGATTTAGTTTTAAAGCGTATATTTTTCTTGATTTTAACCAGTAGCCTATGACTTTAAACGTCAAGTGATGTAAAACAATAGGTCTGGCCATGCCATATTAGGACGCTTTGTTCAAAAAGCAGCATCATTTTTGAGCCAACTTTGCGCTGTTTTTTTCGACCATCCGGAATATTATTAATAATATCAACTAGTAGATATCACTAAAGAGCGAAAATACGAGACATATTTTTATAAATACACTTTTTAAACTCTTAAGGGGGGAGGCAGGCAGTATTTATACTATAGGAAATTCAAATAATTCGTTTTCTGTCAGATGGAAATAAATTGTCTGACCGTTTGACACTTAATGTCAAAGGAAGCTAGATAAAATCAAGAAAAATATACGTTTTTAAACTAAATCTTAAATAACTTAAAAACGGGATATTTTAGGTATAGGAACATGTATAGTTAAAAAGTAACGAATTGAAAAACCGTTTCATTAGTCAAACAAAAAAAGTGGGTTTCCATTTGAAAAAAATGATTTATGATAATTTTTTAATCACTCAATTTCATGACAGCTGCCGCCATTATTATATGACATTTGAACAATTTAATTTTTGAAATAGATAGCCACATGCCTTCTCTTTATGTCACAGTGGCTGTGGTAATCACTAAATTTGACTTTTACGCTACACAAATTTTTTTGACAGGTAGTTTTTTTCGTCCAAAAATTTTAAATATTTTTTTTCTCAAAAACGGTTAATGTTAGATATTATAGAGTGTTTAACATCAATATCCATAGAATTTTACAGAGAATTTAAGTATGTAATAAAAAATGGGGGTACCCATTTAAAATAAGAAAGTTACTGTCAACTTCCGATATTTCCGGAAGTGCCGCCATATTGAAAATATTTTTAATCGATAGATCTCGTTGCAAAACAATGATGTGCAAGAAAACTCCGATCTAGATTTTGTGGATCTCTAGAAACTTCTAATGCACGCTCAGCCTGGGATACCCTGTATATCGCCTCTTCATTTCTAACCAAAACAATTAAACTTTCCACATCCATTTGTGTACAAATATCGCAAATGACTGGCATAAAAATTCGACCGAACGAATCACTATCAGTCTTAACTTGTCTGGACGGGACTGGACTGTACACGACGTGTTTTGATAGAAAACAACTTTCGTTCCAGCATTTGCTTTTCTCATGACTGTCCTAGATTGGATTCATCAACGTCCGACGTGACTGATCGTGACTGGATTGGACTGTGTTGGTGCGAAATGGCCCTTACATAATAATATAAGTCACGCTGGAAAATGTTTAGGGCGAATTTTCTCAATTGACTTATATGTTATAACACGCGAGTGCCATACAAAATTTTATCCAACAGCAGAACTGTTTCTTGTCCAATCTCTAAAGAATAATTGATTTAAAAGAATCTACCAGTTCTAGTTTCATTGATGCGAATTAATAAATTATCAGGGTGCGTTTATGTTACTATGCAATATAGATGTGCGTTTTTTTTGTAAATAATAAATAGCACTGACATTAAGACGTCATTTAGATAAATCGTAATTTTTGAACGATAAAATAGTGAATTATCAACTAGCAAGTCAGATTTTAAAGAAAAATGATTCAGGAAGATCTTGCGCAAGAAAATATTAACCAGGCAGAGGCGACTACAGCACAAATACTGCCAGAAAAGTCTCGTGGCGTATATGACACTAGTTTGTTATAACTTCAAAAACTCACGCGTGTGTTATTATTTATTTTATATGCTAACCTGACCAAAAACAAAAATGGCATGTTTTTCGTGTTTCCAATCCCCGGCAACAGCTGAAGAAACATTTTTGAAGTGAAACTTCTTTACGAGCACTGGGAGTAAAAATTGAAGGCCCTGACACACGAGCTAGCGTCACGACATACGTCACGAAAAGTGGTAACGATCGAAAAAGTGGTAAGCCAATCAGCCAATGAGGAAGTCGAGATGGGTCTTTGGAGCTTCATAACTCGGGTCCTATGTCAGCTAGGTAGCTGAAACTCAGAATGTAGATCTTTTCATGACATTTTGACGACGTTTCGTGCACTATGAAACTCCATCATCAATGAATCAAATCAAAGAATCGTCCGATTTAAATGAAATTTTCTATGTCGATAGATTGGACCAAGACCAACTTGACCGTGTACGACACGTGTCAACGTGACAGTTTATTTTGACGTAAGAAACGCCAAAAGTTGATGTCGTCCGATCGCGACCAAATTTTGGTGGGTAGGCTATATGAGCGACGGTGCATACGGTCCCACCCTGCAAAGTTGGATACGAGGTTTTGTTTGCATCTTCATCAGGGCGGGACTAAGGATTTGATATTGAAGAAAAATGTGGCTCGATTTCGGCATAATTGGAAACGGGTCACAAGATGACGCCCTCGACGTTTCAAACTGATGCCTCTAAATGGAGAAAATCATCAGGATTTTTTTTAATTATGAGTCGATTGGAACCAAACTCGGCACGTGGATTACGTGTACCCCATTAGAGTCCTTAGACGGATAGACGATCATTTAAAAATGTGGCTGTAAATATATTTTAAATAAAGCGTTTCGATACAGAGAACCGTGGATGTGGTTGAAATCGGATAATAAGCGCTGTTGCCATATGTTAACTATGGTTGAAGAAAAACCGTGGGTATCTTCACGCCGCAATTTTTTGGTATACTTAATATGATTGAAATTGAATGAAATCATGCAAGTTCTTACATAAATGTCTGTCCTACCGTCATTTCCTCCTCTACGACTGATTTCTCTGATAAATAATGTATGAAAGTCATAGAA